CCCCCCCCAATATAGGAGTCCTCAATCAATGTTGCCCTCCTTCTCAACTTATCGGCTTTAGGTTTGGATTAGCAGAATGTCGTTCTCATTACGACAAACTTTACTGCGCTCTTTTCTCTCAATCAAGTAAGCGGTTGGAGGGTGGCACTGGTATGTCCTAATTCTTCACTCTGTCGTTCTTGTTTCCAACTATGGGTCATTATTTTTTTTTCTTGGCATTTTGCCTGCTCTCTATACTCAAACAAACAAACAAACAAACAATATAAAACCTACAGAATGTATAACTTTTAACAGTTAGTGTTAAAATGATTAATATTTTTTAAATAATGCCAAACCATTCTTTCTCCCTTTAGCTACCACTTTTTTTTCAGCTTGACATGTTTAACTTTCTCCTCCTTTTTTGGTTGGGGTGGGGTGGGGGTGGAGGGTTATTACTCTCCCCCCTCACACACATACAAAAAAAATTCCCCCGGTCATCTAACTTGAACGAGAACTGTAAATCCTTGGACAAGGAAGCTCTTGTATAGCCTTGAGATGTCTGTGGTGGGATGGTAGCAGGAGACGTCAGTTTATTATTATCTACGTCTTGTTTTACTATCGTATCCATACGACGTGGGGAACTCTGTGCACCCACTTTCCAAAGAGGAAATCTACTCGTTGATCCGATCGTATGCTTCGCATAGCAGTCTGTCATAATGATTTTTTAGAAATACTGAAAGTTTCAAAGAGATCTTCGCTCCAGAAGTATTCTAAAATGTGAAGAATACAACCCGGTATTACAAAATGACCCCAGGGCGTAAGGATAGGGTTAATGTAAGTGTTTTTTCGCTCCATCGACTCAAGGCAGATCATTAAGAAGTCCAATTTGGACCATTTCGGTCCGAACCATAGAGTTACCCATTTTTAAACCCGGGCTGTGAGGGATAAAACATCCCTGCAGAAAGACCGAGATTTATTTATTTTTTTTACGCAAAAAACAACCACAAGAAAAATTCTAAACACACGAGAACCGAGCTTAGTTCTCCCGCTACAGCATAGATACTGGTGACGTCAGTTTTAGTTTTAGCTTCAGTAAGAGTCTTACGGCACTTGCAGCACAATAAGGTCATGTTAACTTTTCAACATTTTAAAATCTGATTATTCTGATTGTTGACCCGAGCCCAGCCATGCAGTGAACTGTTGTGAATGCAACTAACTTGTGTTTTGCGCGCTCACATGACCTTATGCAGTTGCGACCGCCGTAAAACTCTTATAAAACAAAACAAACAATTAAGGTCATATACATGCAGAAGATTAGAAGTGCTACAAGAGAGTAACAAACACAAAAAGAAGGAGAGGAGATAGAGAAAGTAGATTTTTTAAAGGAAAGAAGGAGCAAACCACACCAGAACACCCACCAACCACCCACGACGTCAGTTTGATTCACGGGTTGAGGAAGACTGTTGTATTCAGTTTCTCCATATTCTCCTGAGACACTACATCCCATTCAGCCTTGAGGGTTGGTCCGGGAAAAAATGGACGAAGCCTCCCTTTTGACACTTTAAAGACGCGTCAGACATTTTTGTCCCACCAAAAGTAGTTCAAATTCAATGTTGTTGCACATTTCAAACCCACATACACAAACACAACATTTGACATTTCATATTAATATAAATGTTGTCGCCTGCCTGTCTGCATTTCTGAAAAAGAAAACAGAATTGGAAAATCTGTATGGATATAGATATAACGAAGTTAAGCTTTTCCAAGCATTTGAAAGGGCAGGATTGGCGTCTTCAATGAGCTGATAGACCTATTTTACCCCTTCTAAGAGATCTAGCTTGTGTCCGTGACGGAGTAATGCATTAGCACTTTTCAAAAAGACAACTTACTGTTAACATGCTACTTATTAATAAATCTCTTTACCCTTGTTCATTGAACCTGGCGTAAAGCCTTGGGTAGGGTGCAGTAACCACAAATTAAACCCAAATCAGGACGGCGAACAGATCCGAGGTGCTAAAATCTGTTGACTCGGAGTTTTCATTGATTTTTTTCTTCTTGGTATTGATTTGTTTACTTCAACATATTTTTAAAATGTATTTATGTATTTATTTATTTATTTCTTTATTT